GTGGCTCGGGGGAGGGAGACGCCGATACTGCGGTTGGCCAGGCGCCCGAGCCAGACGGTCAGCTGCTCCTGGGTCAGCAGGCCCTCCAGTCGGCTCAGTGGCTCCACATGCAGGGGGAGCAGCAGGACCATGCTAGCCGACCCGCCTGCCAGGGGCATCTCCAGAATCTGGACCATCTTCTCCAGGTCCTCATAGTGACGGTAAATTCCTGAGGAGTATGGAGCAGAGGTCAGACACACACCCAGAGACCACATCAGGGACACACACTCACCCACCCAGAGAGCAAATCAGCGCCAGACACATACCCACACACACACCTAGAGACCACATCAGGGCCAGACACACACCCAGAGACCACATCAGGGCCATACACACACACTACAACCCAGCCAGCATCAGGGCCAGACACACACTACCCCCCCCAGCCCACATCAGGGCCAGACACACACACACACCCAGCCCACATCAGGGCAACCCCCCCCCCAGTTTTAGCATTCCCCCAGTTTGTATTCTACTTTACCCTGTCTCTCCTTACCTCTCTCTCCTCTCTCCGTGTGTGTGTGCTGCTCACACCCCCACGCCTCACCATGCTCTGCTGTAGCAGTAATAGAACCGTGCTTAAAAGCGCTCCACCTACCTGCTCTGTGCATCATGGCCACTTTGGTGTACTTGCTGCCCAGGAAGCGCCTGAAGTCGATCCCCTCCACGTCAAACTCCCTGTCCCACAGCCCTGCAGCAGGAAGAGCAGCGAACATGATGAAGGCTACACAGAAAAGGTCACAAACGACTTGCTCTTCGCTGAGTACACCATGCTCATTTGGACGGCTAAGTGAAATTTTGCTTTCTGGAGGCAACTATTAAAGCAGGGAACTGGCTGTAAAAGCACTGCTGAGCAGTTTGTTGCTCCACGCACCCACCACCCTTAGTGTAAAGACATGCTTCCTGCTCAGTTGTAAATGCACTTCCCTTGGTTTTACGATATCCGGGTATCGCTTGCCTACACCTATTCCTTCTCTTTTATATCGGTTGTCTTTTTAAGGAGCAGTGCTGGGAGGCAAAGAAATCCAAGTTTCACATTTCAGTTTCCATAATCAACAAGAGGAAACCAACAAACAGGAAATACAAACAGATCAAAGGCAACAAAACACACTCCCAACAGCAAGTCTCAGCAACACGCCAAATAGGAATTCCAGCATGCAGGACTGGAATTCAGACATGATGAATTAGTGTGCATGCCTTTGCAAGTTAGTCAACACTTTCTACCAATACAAGTGGAAAATGCCAGCTCACACACAATCCGACACTGTACTGCGTACATGGGCTAATTTGCACGCACACAATCCGACACTGTACTGTGTATATCGGGTACTTCGCACACACGCAATCCGACACAGTACTGTATATATCAGGTAATTTGCACACACGTAATCCGATGCTGTACTGTGTACGTCGGGTACTTTGCACACACGTAATCCGACACTGTTCTGTGCATGTGAGCTAATTTGCGCACACACAATCCGAGTCTGATGCTGTACTGTGTATATCAGGTAATTTGCACATACGCAATCCTAAAATATACTGTGTATGTCAGGTTATTTGCACACGCAATCCAACACTGTCCTTAGCAATTAGGGTAATTTGCACACACACAGTCCGACGCTGTACTGTGCCTGTGGGGTAATTTGCACACACACAGTCCGACGCTGTACTGTGCCTGTGGGGTAATTTGCACACACACAGTCCGACTCTGTACTGTGCCTGTGGGGTAATTTGCACACACACAGTCCGACCCTGTACTGTGCCTGTGGGGTAATTACCATACCTTTGAAGTGCAGGGCATTCACAAGCAGGGCCCCCGGCGACGCAGGCATCTCCTTGGCGACCTCCAGCACTGCCCCCTGTGTGGCCCTCTCCGCCCAGGCGTTGAGGGCCCGCAGGCTGCCCTGTTTGTCGCCGGGGCTCAGCGTGGCGTGCTGCAGGCGGAGGCGCGTCTCCGCTTCCTTCAGGAACGCCTGGCGCGGGCTCTGGCCCTTGGAGGTGAAGAGGGCGCCGGCGGCGTGCAGGGCGTAGCTGGCGTTGTGCCGGGCGTGCAGCTCGTCCAGGAGCCCCGCCAGCGCCCCCGCCAGGGCGTCGGGGGTCATCGCGCCCGCGCCGAGAAGGCCGCGGATCTGCTGCGCCGTGGCCCCCCCGGCCCCCTGGGACAGCGCCCCCAGGGAGGCGGCCAGCAGCAGTGGGGAGAGCAGTGGGTTCTCTGGCGGCTGCGTGCCGTTCCGCAGCGCGCGATACAGGCGCAGCCCCAGGGCCCAGCTGCCCTCCGCCAGCGTGGCCGCGTGGTCGCCGGGGGGCTTGCAGTGAGCGCTCAGCAGCACCCCCCACAGGACGGTGGCGGGAAGCAGCAGCATGGCTCAGGAGCTCGGCTCAGGCGAGGTCGGCAGGAGAGGCTGCAGAAGTAAGAAAATGGTGAAAAGTCCAGGGTGTTACTTCCTCACTGTGGTGTCTCACACTCTTCCTCGGGTGCTCCCACTGTTTAAGTCTCTCATAAAAGTATTATCATAAGTAGCAATGTCTGTTAAAAAAGACTTCTTTAACCAGATGAAAAGTGTTGGCGTCGAAAAATTGGAACTGTAAGAGACTCGATGGAAACCCACTGAAAGTAACGGTACGCGCTGTGCTGTTCGTTGACAGGAGTTTTAAGAAAATCACCACAATCTTCTGAGCTCCGTATCTTCAGAGGCGTACTCCTCGAGCAACAGTTTTCAAGATTTAATTTATGAAAGCGCACTTCAGAGGGAATAGAAGCGATCAACTTTTTTTTCCCCCTTTTAAAATCTCGGCGCCACAATCGACGTACGAAAACACAAGTTTTCCAGCTTCACGGAGGAATTAAAAGCTGGCCACGGATCTCCCCCCCGAAAAACTGTAAACGGCAACAGAAAGCACGGAAACTTTCAAGAGTTTTACCGGGAATTTACCGGATTTCTCTCGACGGTCTGGGACACCGGTCCGCCTCGGGGCTGCTCGAGCCTTTTGACGTGGCGCAGGAAGTAATTCCGCTAATTTCTTGAAATATCCGGCACCCGAAGGAAAAAAAAAAAGTTCTCCTGAGTCCAGCCGAGGAAATCGCCGCCTACCCCTCTCCCTCCCAAACGTGGAGAAAACTCCTCTGGAAGTTTCTGCGTCTCAGTGCCTAACGGGCCGGTACCCACACAGCAGTGTATTAGCATCGTCTCGGCCGGTGTCACCAGACGCGGTGCCGCGCCACAACAATTCGGAAGTCCGTTATCGTGGTCTGTTAAACGGTTAATTATAATGATGATGTTAAAATCAATAGTAAAAATTTACATTATAATAGTTATTATTATTATTATTATTATTATTATTATTATTATTATTATTATTATTAATAATAATAATAATAAAGTAAAAATGGTTCCATGTGGCGTCTCTTCTTTTTTAGCAGCTATATCACCCTGCAACTCGGTCTGTGTGGGTGCCATCACATCAGCCAGTTGGGGCTGCATACTGGTGGGGGTGGAGGGGAGTCTCCATTATAATACAGGACCCAAGAGGAAGTAGCAATAAGCACCACAGTGGCTAACACAGTGCTCCATTTCCAGGAGAGAAAATCCCAACAACCTGTAGCTCTCTGACCCCACAGTCAGTCATTCCTGGTTTAACTAAGCCCGTTAACTCATCGGATGAAAACCTACCTGCGTTCCAAGTCTACAGACACTGAGAAAGTAAGGGAGAGCTCTAGACCCTGCTGGACTGTGGCTTTCCCGGGTCTGGGGTCACCTGGAATCATAATTCATTCACCATTTTAGATGGTTCTTGAGACACAGTTGCATCACTTTTCTAAGGTGTCATTAAAGTGCGGCTACTTTTCTCCCTAACTCTGTACTCCAAACACACTCGACTGCTCTGTGAAGCACATCATCATCTTGTCATGACTGCCGAGACGTTCTCCGTGAGAGCTAAATGCATGCGCTTCTCTTGCTGCCCAGAGGGTGGCGCCAGTGCACTGCAGGGCAGACCTTGGATGACCTAGTCTTTCTCCAGGGACTGGACGACCTCGGTGGGGCCTCTGTCCCATCGCTGAGGCTCACAAAGCTGACCTCATAGGCCCCCAGTGACCACAGGGGTCAATACTAAGTACTCTGGTGCACTGCGGATTTATGGCATGAACCCAAACTCTACAGTTGTATTGTACAGACCATACATGAGCAGTTCCTGCTTGCTCAGACTGTCAGAGCTGTAGCAGACAGTCAGACAGGTAGACAGCACTGGGTTCACCCCCTGTCTTACCAACTGTTGCTAATCAAGGTTTCCTAAACTGCCCCAATGCCCACAGTATTGCAGTGGGACTCCAACAGGCGGGACTGGGTCTAACTGTGGTCTTTAAAACTGCCCCAGTGCCCACAGTATTGCAGTAGGCTTTCCAACAGGCTGGACTGGGTCTAATCAGGGTCTCTAAAACTGCCCCAATGCCTACAGTATTGCACTGGGCTTTCCAACATACTCAGATATTCAGTTCTTTCAAACACTCTCACAGAGTGAGCTGTACAGCACACTGCAGGTCTGACACGAGCACTTGACATGACTTTATTCCCCCAGCAGGATAAAAAGCTGAACTTGGACTTGTGGTTCAAGTTAAAAGAAAAATCCTCCTTGGAATTCAGTGCTGATGTCTGCTCAATGAAATATCAGAAAACAAATAGCACAGACACACACACAGAAAACCATGTTGACAGGCTGAGAGGTTGAAGTCAAGGGCAGACACAGTAATCCCAATCTCTAACCACGGAGGAGGGTTTTAAACACACACACACAAAAATCAATGCCTTCTGTCAAAGAGCAATGACAGATAAAAGGCAGATAATTGAGTGGCGTGCACTACTGAATGGCTCTTTTGGGACAGAGGAGGAAATTTTATATGCTGCAAAAAGCACAGGCAGTGAGTTCTCAAGTGGCTCCTTATCCAGTAAAAAGCTCAGCTAATCAGAATGAACTCCCTATAGCCTGGAGATCACAAACAGGGTCCCAATTCGGGATAGGCCCGTACAGCCTAGAAATCATGGCCTGGCTCCTACTCCAGGATGAGCCCCAGCAGCCCAGAGATCCCAGCCAGGGTCCCAGTCCAGGATGAGTCCCTACAGCCCAGAGATCACAGTCAGGGTCCCAGTCCAGGATGGGCCTCTACAGCCCAGAGATCACAGTCAGAGTCCCAGTCCAGGATGGGTCCCTACAGCCCAGAGATCCAAGTCAGGGTCCCAGTCTAGGATGAGTCCCTACAGCCCAGAGATCACAGTCAGGGTCCCAGTCCAGGATGGGCCTCTACAGCCCAGAGATCACAGTCAGGGTCCCAGTCTAGGATGAGTCCCTGCTGCCAGGAGATCACAGCCAGGGTCCCAGACCATGATGAGCTCCAAGAATGTTCTTTGAATTTAAAGGGTGTTGTCTAAAATCACTGAATTTACTGAATCAAATACGATATTAAAGCAGGAAGATGTCATTTGTTTCATACAGAAGATGTTTTTAATGCTTACAACGTTTCATACAGCTGGCCCCCAGGAGTTTGGAAACGAAGCCCGACTCTCTAAGCATATTTGCCAGGGAGTGCCTGCAGCTGTGCTCCTGATAAGCGTGAGTCAGACGCAAGGGGAGAATGCCGGTTTGCTTATCTGAAAAACTTTTACTGCTTTCAGTAAGGCCCAGCGCCCGGCTTGCGCCGGCTTGTCAGGGGGAGGGACAGGGGCCCTGCCCTGCCCAGATGTAGCCCCCGAGTGGGTCAAGAGGAGGGGAAGTTATTGGAAACAGTTGCGGTAGAGTGGTAACGGTTCTTTTTTATCGAGGGGAAGGAATCAGAAATTCCAGAACAGGGGCGATGAGTAATCCCTGGGGCTGGACGCTGTCCAATGACACCGCGCACATCTGTTTCTATTTGTTTCCTAATTGCTGTTGTGTGCCATCCTGTCTCCTTTGTGAAGGATTAATTCAGGTGAACTAAGGCGTCAGAGGTGCGAACACAGTCCCAGGGCTAACTGGCTCAGAGACAGATGCAGTGCTTTCTCCAGTGCTCTCTACTGTTCTAGACCCGTACTGTGCATCTGAAGCAGTAGCCTGGGTGGTGGTGCGCCACCAGGACTCTTGGCGATTATAAAGTAGCAGCAGACCTGGCCCTTGTCCCTCCATGTGCTGCACCATGGGTAAAAGTCTGATGCAAGCAGTCTCACAAGTGTCCATGACTGATGGACATGCATCAATTCATGCAGCCTTAAGAGTTTACAGCCAGGGGTAAAAATAAGCAACCAACAAGAGGCACAATTCTGGCCGTCCGACACTACTGAACACAAGGGAAGACATAGATGTTCACCATGTTGTGAGAAGACCACTGAGTGTCCCTGGATCTCCATGTACATCTGAATGTACAGTATAGTACTGTAGTATAGTTGAACCAATGGCACCACATATGTGAAGCTGTAATCACTGCTAGACACGGAGCACCCCAGTGTTACGGCTATCCCTAACATTTTGATAAGGGCAGTAAGTGCAGTACAGTGCAATGTCACAGTGGCAAGAGTTAGTATCAGGGGTGCCTGACATCTGGTTGGCTTCATCAGGGGGTCTCTTTAAAGGGACCAGGGAAGACGTATCGCAATAGTGGGGGTGGGAGTGAGAACAGAAATATTATTTCCATGTGGGAAGCTGTTACCCCGACGACACATTCTCATTTCGGTCCCCCGTTCCCCTCTCTCTCTCTCTGCCCCTCCCCCATCACACACCCAACGTAGCTAATTAACGAAGGCAACGGCCATAAGAGCAGTTCCAGCAGGAGAGTGAGAAACGCAGGGAGGGAGAGCAGAGAACGACAGGCCGGGCGGTTAGGAGCGCCGAGGAGGGGGGAATGAAGGAGTGGAAAACGAGACTGACAGAAGATACGCAGGCGGACAGAGAGAGACGGATCTATGCAGCAGGGCCCTGAGGCCACTGTACAAGGTCAGAGACACGGGGCTGTCGTCCATCTGGGTTTGTCAGTGTCAGGGGAGGAGGGAGAGCGCTGGGGGTTACGGGGTCATGACCTTGTCGCTCTGAGGAGGGTGAGGGGTCCGGATGCCAGCTGGGTATCTGGCTCTGGATGGGTACCGGCAGCACAGTCACCCCCGCCCGCCCCTCCCCTCCCTGCACTGTTCTGACTGCTGCTACCCCCCAGGGGGGCGGGTGGCCAGATGGGCAGGAGTGACCGAGCCTGTCTTGTACATCACAGCTGACCGACACTCTTCGGCCTACGCGCACTGACCTCTCAGCAGCCTCTCTCCCTCTGTCCTCCCTGTGCTGGACACTGTATTGTTTTTCCGGTACTGTAGAGTGGTACAGTATACTGTGTCCTGTACTCCACCACACAGTACTGACCAGAGCTGCTGTATACTGTGTGCCACACATTGGTGTTAATAATGGCCCTGTTCTATACAGTAAATTATATTATTCCACACTGTCCTATACTGTCCACTTCTATACTTCACACAGTACTGTATTGTTCTACACTTATACTGTCCAGCTCTATACTTCAGACAGTACAGTATTGTTCTACACTGTCCTATACTGTTCACTTCTATACTTTACACATTATTGTATTATTCCACACTGTCCTATACTGTCCACTCTGCTACAACCACAGTGTACCATATTGAATAATAATAATTATGGAGACTCCCCTTCACCTCCACCAGTGTGCAGCCCCACCTGGATGATGCACCAGTACACCCACCACACACCAGCTCTCAGTGGGGAGGAGAACAGAGTGATGAAGCCAGTTCAGATAGGGGGATTATTAGGAGGCCATGACTGGTAAAGGCCAGGGGGACATTTGACCAGGACCCCTACACCCCAATTGTTTTTGAGAAACACCCTGAGATTTTCACCCTGAGATTTTCAATGACCACGGACCTCAGTTTTCCATCTCATCTGAAGGTCGGCAGAATCCCACTACGTTGTAAATAACGGATGTTTTCTGTTCCATTTCTGGGGATTGGAAATGAATTCTGCTTTCACTGTGGGGCTGACCTTTATTGTTTTTTACGAAAACCCCCGCTGGCTCCAAAACTTCAAAGCTTAAAAAAGCTGCTCAGTAATATATATTACAAGTGAGACAGAAGAGGCTGTCTACATACATACCGATACACACCGGTGTATCTACAGTATATGTGTGTGTGTGTACGAACATGCTTCTCCACGGTTTCGTAGGTAAAGGTCACTTGTTTAAAAGAGGCCCACGACTCTCATTCATTAACTGAGCTGGTAAAGGTTACGCTCAGAGATGCGGCACTCAGAATGCTGAAGAGCTGGCCTTGTGTGATGGCTCACGTTAATGAACCATCTCGAGTCCCGCTGTAATGAACAAGGTGTGCGGGCTGGAGGGAGGGGGGCTTGACATCTGAGAGACGATCGCTCCCTCCTTCCAGAACACCAGACCTTTCAATCCAAAGGATTCGCGATAAGTCGTTCAGCAAACGCTTGCGATCTGTCCGAGGCGCCTGAGAGCAACGAACACTTTACAGCCTAATTTCCACCCGCTGAAAGTGAACAGCCCTGCTGCAACAGGTCAGGGCACCAGAGAATCAAGACCATAAAGGAAGGGTCTAGCGCTGTGTCAGTGTGCTGGACTCCACAGGGACTG